AAATTTTAAAAATCGTACATAAAATAGATCCAAATTTCACGATAATCCGATTTCACGATAATCCGTGACAATTATTATTGAATTTTTTCATGCGATAAGTATAATTATAATCACTTGGAATATTGATTTGATTGGCCAATTATCACGTTTTATTGACATGAATTAGCCAATCATATGAATTCTGCAAGTTATTCTGCGTTTACTGCTAAAATAGTAACTAACCCTAATTAAGTATAAATCTGCATCAAGAAAGTTATTCTCCGCGTGGATTTCACCCTTTCATATTATAAAGTTTAATAAATGGCAACCGAAGAATCAGTTTTACTTTCCTATTTCCTTAACAGTGAACTTGAAAGTAATATAACTCTTAAACAGTTTACGAATTTGTTTCCTAAGTCTTATAGGTGAATATTACTTTTTTTTTATGTCAGGACGCGTCATAAGAAAAACATTAATAATATTAATAACCTTATTAGAAACAATAAGCATATTAAAACATTGTATAAAGAGTATCAAACTGAGCGAAGTGCAACGAGGGATTTAGTTCGTCAAAATACGATAAAAGAATGTAAAGAACTTGATTTGTCGAAAGTTCGTACTTTTCAAGAGGACATGATGGATATTGATATGAATCAAGATGAAACATTAGATGAAATATTAGATGAGGTATGAAAACCAATGGAATGAATTCATAATTGAATTTAACTTATGATATTTTTATCAATTAGTCGAATGATCGTTTGACATTAAATCAAGCAATTGAAATATTATCGATTGCAGAAAAACAAATGACAGATGAGATTAAAATTATGGAGGTGGAACGTAATGAATTATTTCAGGATATTCAAAGGTATTTTGTTATCCATAATGAATGTTTATGGGATATATTTGGTCCGATAATAATTTTGCTAAAATCAAAGGATAAATGAGGACATGAGCGATTTGAGATATGGTAGAATTGGGCCAAAAGGACTTCCTGAAGCCGATATTATCGAAGATTTGAAGGTTTTTTTCTCTTTTTTTTTTTGCTGTTGTTATTTCAGTATTTTAATTTAAAAAAGCTATTTAATAACCGAGCACTTTAATTTAGAAATTGATGTCGACCTGTATAGAGCTTATGACTGGGTTATAGTAAACCGGATCACCCGTGTAAAAACGGTAACCTCCAAAAATCTGTTATTATTACACAGAAAACATAAAATTTAACACATTATTGTATTGTGAATAAACATCCTTTTTTTCTCACTAATTTATTAAAAATTTTCCTTTGTATAAACCTTCATTATTATTTTCTTTGCTAATATGTAATACACTGCGCTCGACGCGTTTGATGGTACCCCAAGAATTCGTAGTGCTAGGGTTTGGCGTGATCGTCGAATTAACAAATTAATTCCAAACCTTGAAAGAATTTTTAGACTACTGATCTTATAAAATTAATTAAAAGTCTAATATGTACCGTTCGTGACAAATAATTTAAATCAATTTTTAGATCAATTAAGATAAAATACGTGTGATTTTTAATTAAAAACTCGTGTCACACTGCGTACTATATGCAGAGCTATACGCTATGTATAATGAATACTTAACGATAATTTAATGTCGATAAGTGCACCGATCATTTAGGCAACCTGCACATGTTTGGCTTTAGGAAAATACTAAATAGTACTGTAACGTTGTGCACGTTTTCTTTTGGTGCTTATTAGGTGGAATTCCTAAACGATACTCCAGTCAAGTATAATAACCAACGCTAGTAAAAGTCGAATTGCACGCGTGGGGTTAGAAAACTTTGACCGCATATCCCAATACTGGATAAATTAACAACTTTATTTGAGAACCGCACGGTATTATTGTTCACAAAGAGAGAATACACTAACTGCACCATCGTCCAAGTTTATGTCTGCGGCCCTGCGCTAAATTGGTGTCGAGTCATAAAGTCCCTCTCATGTCACAACATTATTCACAGGTTTGTATTTATATTATCGTATTTATTTATTTTTTTTTTTTCATGCTTATTGTCCGGATCTCAGATTCGAACTGAATCAGTTTTTTTTTTATCTTTAGATAATATCGAATCGAACTCCACCCTCGAAAATTTGAAAAACTAGTTATCCATAATTCTCGCCGTCACGATTATTCCAACCGTTTTAAACCGGTTTCCCCGATTGCGGATTATACGGGTGATCGGGTGACGATTTTGCGGAACTCTAATATAATTAAAAATTCTCTTGCACTAGAAAAGTTCTTTACCAATTATAATGCTGATGAGCTAAAAAGTTATTACAGGTGACCTGTAATAACTTTTTAGCTTCATCAACATTATAATTGGTAAAGAACTTTTCCAGTGCAAGAGAATTTTTAATTATATATAGTCATTTATCTATATATTCATCCAGTTTGTTTTATACTAATGATTATAAAAAGTATGATAATCAAAAAAAATTTATTTTGTAGAACATACTAATAGATAAAGTGTGTACCGTATTCCTCCGAAAATAAGCACCCTTTTTTTGCACTTAATGCTTGCCGTGATTGTCGTAAAGCGGACCAAAGTTGGCATAGTATGGGCCAGGGGTGCTTATTCTTATTTTCGGAGGAATACGGTATTTATAACGATAATATGAATGTATAGAAATAATATTTATAACAGATTTTTTAAAGTTATCTTTTTGTAAGTATATTATATGTACCGTATAAGGCAAATAATGCTCATGAGTACATTTTAACTATCCTAAGCTTTTTTAACCTTATCCCGTCCCATCCTACCCATCAATTTCTCAATTCTTAGCTTGAGAAGCTATATCAACGCAATAATTTAAGAATTAAAGTGAAGTTATCTTTGAGTTATTGAACTTTTTTTAAATATTAAATTTGTCCCAACTGTCCCATATACAACAATACTCGTGAACGTTATTTTAAAAATCATGTTCAACGGTAGCATACATGGTTTCGGATTATAGTCCATGAGCGTCTCGAATTAACGCGAATCCCAATAAAACTAGTGATTATACCTGGCGATAACGGCTGGCCGGGTAGATATATCGGAGGTCTCAACGTTTATTAAGCTATATTCATGAATCTTTACTATTTAATTTCATTTTATACGGGTAACACCCTTATTTCGAAATAACGCATATGGAGTACCGAAATAACGGCAGGCCAGTTAATTTAACGCGCGATTGCATTGGGAAAGTGAATTTCCGGAAATTGTTGTCAGAAAAATGGCTGCTAGAGAAGTAAAAGTTGAAAAATGTTTGGGACCAATATTATTGAATCTACAGTATATAATAAAATAATTGGAAATTTGGAAATATGCCCAATTAATTTTTATAATTTTTTTGGATTATCCATTACCTAAGGATCCTAAAAATTATTTGATTAGCCTGACAAACGAAACATAATTCAAATGTTCAAATATTCAAAAATTCAATTAAATTTATTTGAACATTGTCCAATGTCAACTTGGTTTATGCATTATGCCTGTGACTTGTTCAAAACCTTGATCATGACAATACAGTCAACTTTTTCTAAGTTAATAGGCCAGAAAAAATATCTTGCATTTAGAAAGAATTTGCAATTAAAGAAAAACCAAATTAATATATAATTAATTCTCTCTAAATGCAATAAGTTAAAAAAAAAATCTTGCAATAAGAAAAAAAAACCTTATAATTAAATAAATCAATTTAATTGGTTAATAAAAATATTTTGCATTTAAAGGGAATAAGTTTATATATATTGGTTAAAAAATCTTGCATTTATAAAATAAAGAACTTGCATTTATTTTATGTCCTGATAAAGAGCTAAGCTATTTTGCTGCATTTAGAGAGAACTTGCATTTAGAGAGGTTGTACTTAGAGAAAGTTGACTATAATGATTTTCAACCACAATATAAAGGTTAATAGCAAAAGTAATAAAGTTTTTGGTGTGTTTTTGAGCAATAGTGTGTTCGGGAGTTGAGATGTTAATATCTAATCTCGCATGAAATTGAATCTATTTGAATATTTATCACTTCTTTTTGCTCTTCAGTGAATAATGATCATACCAAATCTCTGGTTATTAACTCGGCGTGATTGACAATTTTATTCCTTGTTTCCATAGATTTCTGTGTTAATTTACAAAGAATTCTACTACTGTATATAATACTCATTTCTTGTTTCGATTGTACTGAAATTTAATCATAATTACATTTACCAAAGGAGAACTACATAACTAATAAGGGTCAATTTTTATAAGGGTTATTTTTTCTCTAAAAACTATTAGACTTTTCGAATTCGAAGAAAACTTTATTATTTATAATTCAAAGTTTATTTTGGATATGAAAACGTTCATTTTATAATTGTAATTAATTATATATATATAAATTTATTTCTGATATAACTATTAGACCTAACAGATCAATTTATTTAACAATCCTGCTTAGTCGCTAAATCACTTTCAGAAAATGAAACTTTAATAATTATAAATTTGACCGGTTCTTAAGGTTGGAACTATTAATCGAAAATAGGAAATGCATTTTGGTTTTGGTCATTATCCCAAATAAAGTAAAATCCCAATTTTTAATTCAAACTACGTACATAATAATGTCATAATTCAAAAAGGTTTGGGTCACAACTCTACTTTTGCTTGGCTCTTTGGATTTCCGCTGGGGAAGGAGCCAAATCGTATTTGTCGAATCTTGATTCATCGAAAAACTTGGCTGTTACAGAACGACCTCCGAAGAAACGACCATTAAGATCTTTCTTTGCCTTTAATGCAGCCGCTTGTGTCTCAAATTTCACGAATATTCTTACAGCTTGATCATCTGGCAATTTTCCATTAGGTACCTGATCAAAGTAACGTGTTTAATAAGAAGTTTATTAACAATGAATAAATATTAAAGAAATAAATATAAATTGTCTAAAAAAGTTCATATAGATACTGACCTCAAAGATAAGGCAACGTTCTACAGCACCATATTTTTCATTGCATTCATCAGCCGTTTCCTCTTGAAGAGTATCGTCCACTTCACCATGACCAACCTTTAAATGTATGATTATTAGTGATGATTACTGAAATTATATGTTTCAAGAAACTAGTTCAGTACAATTAGTCGTAAATAAGCTCACCATATTTGTCAATAAAATTACTCTTGAAGGAATTTCAACACTTGAAGAAGCTGTGTCACTTTTCGCCGTAGATTTCGCTTCTTTATAAAAAATTTAAACTTTTAATTAAATATTATAATTACAAAGAAAGACTAAAATATAATTACCCGGTATGTTGGTGGATGTATTAACGATAATTCCTGATCTATAATCTGTTTTTTGGACTTTCAAAGGTTCATTAATACCTTGTTCATCTTTTCCTAATCCTATAAAGATATGAACATGAATAAAAAAAAGTAATAAAGTAACGTTTAACAATATAAAATAAAAATCATAAATTACCTTGACCTTCTTGCCAACCGTATTTAGCAAGTATTCGATGTGCAAAATCTTCACCAGAAGATGGTCCAGATGTGGCTTTTGGCTCGGGAGATCTGAGAAGAGTGAAAATTAATTGTTTTATAAAA